CTCTGAAGTGCAAAAGCGACTTGGAATCCTCAGGGAATCCCCAGGGAATCCTGAAGGAATGCTAGCGAATCCGAAGGGAATCCTAAGGAAACCTACCGAATCCAAAGGAAACTCGAGGAATCCTAAGGAAGGATCCTACCGAATCCTCAGCGAATCCTAATGGAATCTTAAGGAATCCTTGCGCAGACCGCACGCCGTTTCCGTCCGGGTTCGCGCTTGCGCGCCCCAGGAATCCCTGAAGTGTATAAGCGCTTAGGAATCTTGAGGGAATCCTAAGGGGATCCTGAAGGAATGCTGGCGAATCCGAAGGGAATCCTAAGGAATGCAAGCGAATCCAAAGGAATCCTACGGAATCCTACCAAATCCTCAGCGAATCCTAATGGAATCCTAAGGAATCCTACCGGATCCTCAGTGGAATCCGAAAGAATCCTTGCGCAGACCGCGCGCCGTTCCCGTCCGGGTTCGCGCTTGCGCGCCTCAGGAATCCCTGAAGTGTATAAGCGCCTAGGAATCCTGAGGGAATCCTCAGGGAATCCTGAAGGAATGCTGGCGAATCCGAAGGGAATCCTAAGGAATGCGAGCGAATCCGAAGGAGCCCGAAGGAATCCTAAAGGATCCGACCGAATCCTCAGCGAATCCATCATCACCATAGTCATCATCAGAATCATCATAAACAGCATCATCATAATGGTCATCATCAACATGATCTTCATCATCGTCGTCATCATCATCACCACCTTCATCGTCATGAACCGTGATCATCACCATCATCATCACAGTCATCACCAGCATCATCATAACCATCATAATCATCATCAGCATCGCCACCATCATTATCATCGTCATCATCGTCGTAATCAACATCATCATCATCGTCATACACCAGCATCATCATCATCATCGTCATCATCGTCATCATCGTCATCATCAGCATCATCCGCATCATCGTCATAATACTAATCGTCACCATTACCACCATCATCATCGTCATCATCGTCATCATCATCATTATCATCACGTTCTTCAACATCAACATCATGATGCAAGCTCCCAATGCAACCTCAGCAGACATCTATTGAGCAACCCAAATGCAAGCAATGCAAAATAATGCACAGCAGCCAAATGCAAAGCAATGCAATATCTTCGGAATCGAACACGGCGGGCCCGGACGGAGACGGCGTTCGCTTCCATCATGCTCGATCGTACGGACGGGGGGCAACTGAAAACCGAAAGCCGAGTGTCAAACTCTTAAGGTAAATTAATGTTCTGGGATCAAACATCGGCCACACAAACCTCCAAAACATACTTCAGTGTCAAAGAAAGAGAAAGACAGCGACACATCTTCAGAACAGCGGTTCACTACTACAAGGCCCAGACGGGCACGGCGTTACCTACTACTACTACTACTACTACTACTACTACTACCACTACTACTACTACTACTACTACTACTACGACGACGACGACGACGACTACTACTACTACTACTACTACTACTACTACTACTACTACGACTACGACTATTACGACTACTACGACTACTACGACTACTACGACTACTACGACTACTACTACTACTACTACTACTACTACTACTACTACTACCACTACTACTAATACTACCCCTACATCTCCGACTACCTCCCCTCCACCTAATCATCATCCTCCTCCTCCCTCTCTGTCCCCCCGTCCTCATCAACATCATGATCCTCATCCTCCTCATCATCCTCCTCATCCTAATCCCCTTCCTCCTCATCCTCCGCCTCCTCCTCCTCCTTCTCCTCCTCCTCCTCCTCCCCCTCCTCCTCATACTCCTCCTCCTCCTAATCATAGTATTCCTCCTCCTCCTGCTCCTCGCCCTCCCTCTCCAACTCCTCCTCTTCCTCCTCCTCCTCCTCATCATCAGCATCATCAGCATCATTATCATCATCATCATCCTCCTCATCCTCCTTCTCCTCCTCGTCCTCCTCCTCATCCTCCTTCTCCTCCTCCTCCGCCTCATCCGCCTCCTCCTCTGCCTCTTCCTCTGCTTTCGCCTCCTGCTCCTCCGCCTCCTCATCTGCTTCTTCCTCCTCTTCTTCGTATGAGCAGTGCTATTCTTGATTGTACTACACATATGATTCGTACAATCATTATCGTGCTGTTGGTATTTGTTCGGTTGAATAGTGTTAGTAGTGGTATGACTCCCACTGGCATTCTTAAAGTATGCATAGCCTGTTTCTCATTATCAGAACTATTCTTCTTACGAGTAGCAGTATCATGATTTATTATGGTCATTGTTACAGGTAGTAAAAGTGTTGACATTAATATTTATAGCATCAGTATTACTACTACTCCTCTTCCTCCTCCTCCTCCTCGTCATCCTCCTCCTCCTCCCCCTCATCTTCCTCCTCCTACTCCCCCTCCTCCACCTATCCCTCCTCCTCCTTCCCCTCGTCCTCCGTCTCCTCCTACTCCTCCTCCTCTTCCTCCTCCCACTCCCCCTGCTCCTCATCCCCCTACCTCTCCTCCGCGTCCGACCTCTCCTCCACCCATCCCTCCTCCTCCTCCTCCTCCTCCTCCTCCTCCTCCTCCTCCTCCTCCCCCTCCTCTTCCTCCTCCTCTTCCTCCTCTTCCCTCCTCCTCCTCCCTCCTCCTCCTACTCCTCCCTCTCCTATTCCTCCGCCTCCTCCTCCCTCCTCCTCCTCTCCTCCTCCTCTTCTCCGCCTCCTCCTCCTCCTCCTCCTCCTTCTCCTCCTCCTCTCTCTCCTCCTCCCCCTCCTTTCCTCCTCCTCCTCCTCCTTCTCCTCCCCCTCCTCCTCCTCCTCCTCCTCCTCCTCCTTCTCCTCCTCCTCCTCCTCCTCCTCCTCCTCCTCCCCCTCTTCTCCCTTTTCCTCGTCCTCCTCCTCCTTCTCCTCCTCCTCCTCTTGCTTTCTTCTCTGTGCGCTGCAGCCCGCCTGGCAAGGCGTGCACTGGCTGGCGGTGGGCTCACCGCTATGAGACATCTGGTGCTCCCCCAATCAAGCCTCAGGTCGGGCCTGTCCTCCCACAGACGAACTTTGGACAAAAAACATAATCAAAAATATCAAACCATCACCAAAGAACAATCGAAGATCGTCACCTGACTAGTTCTGACTGCTGTTGAACATTCCTCCTGTAGAGGGACTCCCGACTTAAATCAAGCCTTGCCTTCTTGAGACGACAGTTACCTTTTTGGAAGGAAGGGGCTGGGAAGACACAGGGCACGCCTGCCCCTTTTGCCCATTCAAAATGCGAGATAACACGGATGATCAGATCATTTATCCCAACCCCTTCCTCCGAAGCAGATAACTGTCTTATTGGCCTTATGAGGGGCCTCAGTTGGTTGTGAAGAACTGGTGTTTGCAGTCGCTGGCTTGCGCCCGGGCTCCCTGGACTTTCTTGGTCTTGTTCCCTAGTTAGGTTTGCCTCAAGGGGGGTCTTCTGTACGGAGAAGCCAATGGGTGCCGGACCCGGTTGCGCCACGGTTCCTCGTGGTTCCTCTGCTTGTTTCCTTACACGGGAGTTCTTCGGGGTTCCCCGGCTTTGTTTCCTTACAAGGCCCTGCCTGATTTCCTTGGTCTTGGTTCCTTGGTTCCTTGGTCCTAGTAGGTTCCTAGGATTATTGGTTCCTTGATATTGGTTGCTTGGTCCTTTGGTCTTGACTCCTTGCTGCGTCGCCATGCAATGCCATGCAATGTCAAATAACGCCAAGCTGTGCCAAGCAGTGCCGAGCAATAGGCCAAGCAATTGGCCAAGCAATATGCCAAGCATAACGCCATGCATTATGCCAAGCAATCTGCCAAGCAATCTGCCACACAATGCTGCTCAACGCGCCCATGCAATAGGACTCTTCCCCTCATTGGGGTTGCGCCAGGTTCGTTTCCTTACCAGGCGTGGCCCGGGTTCCCTTGGTTCATTGGTCTTGGCTCCTCGGTACCTCGGTTCCTCGGTTCCTTGGTCCTGGTTTCTTGATTCCGTGGTTCCCATGTCTTCGTTCCTGGGTCGCTGGGTCTTGATTTCTCATTTCGTTGCTGCCTCGTCACGCAATGCCAAGCGGGGCCAAGCGGGGCCAAGCAGTGCCAAGCAATGCCAAACAATGCCAAGCAATGCCACGCAGTGCCAAGCAGTGCCAAGCACCGCCAAGCACCGCGAAGAAATACGCCAAGCAATACTCCAAGCAATACGCCAAGACATCTGCCAAGCAATCTGCCAGGAACTGCCAAGCAATCCGCCAAGCAAGGTCAAACAATGCAGCTCTGGCAATGCCACGCCAATGCAAGAGGGCTTTATCCAGTAGTTGGGGTCGCGCCAAATGAGTTTGAAAAAATGCTCTCCCCCACGGCAGCGCCGCCTGGCCTAGCCTGTGCCGACGTCCTGCCTCGACTGCTCCTCTTCCTCCTCCTCCTCCTCCTCCTCCTCCTCCTCCTCCTCCTCCTCCTCCTCCTCCTCCTCCTCCTCCCCCTCCTCCTCCTCCTCCTCCTCATCATCATCATCCTCCTCCTCCTTTTCCTCCTCCTCCTCCTCCTCCTCCTACTCCTCCTCCCCTCCTCCTCCTCCTCCTCCCTCCTCCCCCTCCTCCTCCCTCCTCCTCCTCCCTCCTCCTCCTCCCTCCTCCTCCTCCTCCCCTCCTCCTCCTCCTCCTCCTCCTCCTCCTCCTCCTCCTCCTCCTCCTCCTCTCCTCCTCCTCCTCCTCCTATCGCGAGGAAGTGCAGGAAGGAGGGCGCTGGGGTATAGAGCACCACAGAGTAAGGGGAGGAGGACGAAGACGACGAGCGAGGGTGAGTGGTGGCGGTCGCTGCGTAAGGAAAACGAGCCCCAAGCAGAGCAGCGCACACCACGACCACGAAGACACCGACGGAAACGAGGCGCGCAGCCATACGCTCCGAAGCACGGAATTGGGAAAGGGCCCACCCTGCGAAGTCTGGTGAGCAACACATCGTTGAGCGGTGTTGCGGCCACCCTCCGGAAAAGGACGACGAGCACAACGACGGTGGCGACGCCTCCGGGTCGCCCTTCGGCGCGCCCGCGCCCGCCGCCAGGGGGACGGCGCTCCCGGCCAGCGGCCGCCGGCGGCCGCGACCTCCAGCCGTGGTCGTCTCCCGGCCGCCCATTCCCAGCCGCAGTGGTGGAGGCCTGCGCGAAGACCGTTGTCGTTATCGTCGTCGTCGTTGTCGTCGTCGTCGTGGTCATCATCGTCGTCAATGCGTCGTCAGTACGTCGTCGTCTCGTCATCGTCGTTGTCGTCGTCACCGTTGTCGTCTTAGTCGTTGTCTTCTCGCCGCCGCCGCCGCCGCCGTCGTCGTCATCCTCCAACTGTTCCTCATGCTCCTCCCGCTCCTCTTCCTCCTCCTCCTCCTCCTCGTCCTCCTCCTCCTACTCCTCTCCTTCCTTGTGCTCTCCGGCGTCGCGCCACTCTCGGGCCCCGCCTGGCAGAGCTCGTGCTTGCGCCGACCCGAAGGCCTCGACCTGCCCAGATCGGAAGTCGACTTCTTTTGATTCGCGGGTCGAGAGCGCACCTCTTCTGGTCGATGCTAAGCGGGCCGCGCCGAGCTTGAATTACGCAGAGAAGGGGGCAGAAGGAGGGGCCTCACGGCAAGGCCAGGAGGGGGCAAAGCCCCGGAATCAGGCGGTGCCGAGGACGATGCGCCTAGCATGATAGCCGCAATTAGGAACCGCGTCGGCTTCTTGACGGGACCGCCCTTGAAATTCACCAGGTTGCTGCCCTCGGCGCGCCGGTGCATCATCGCGGCCACGACTCTGAACCTAGCCACGGCATGAGCTTCCAGGCCTTTGATGTCAGCGGGTCCTCCAGTAGCACGCGTGCTACTCGACGCTTCCAGTTGAGCCAGATGTGCTCGACGAACCGCAAGCGCCCCATGCCAATCGCCAGCTTCGCCATCCTCGTCTTCTGCGGAAACATACGCGATATATTCGTGAACGGGTCGCGCGGGAAACCCACGATAGTCATGCACGGGTCGCCCTCATCCAGCATCAGCACATCCCGCTGTGACGTGATGTCTCGTCGCCCACGATCAGGATGTCCCTCGGTATCGAAATCGGGCGCCGCAGCTGTTGAGCTTCCGATGTGGCTGCCATGCCGCCCGCGAAGAGCTCACATATGATAGGCCGCTTCTCCTCCTGGCCCGCCCCCGGCGCATCCACGACCTGCTGGCGCTGGCCCAGCTTGTCCTGCAATTCGATCCCCCACGCCTCGATAAGTTTCCTCTGCTTCCGTCGCAGGATGCCCTAGTCTATCTCTCGCCCCTCCGCCTGCCAAAATGTCGATCTCGTCCGTCGTAACTGACGGTACTGTTTTGGCCGTTTCCCTCTTCGGCCAGTCCTTGAGCGAGATCCTTAGGTGCCCCATTCTCGGTCTTCTTGAGCGGCACCCCATACTGCTCGATTGCCTTGAAGTCCGCCTCCTGCTCCTTCACGCACAGCGCTGCATCGGCAGCAGCATCGGCGTCTTCGATTTCGGCAGCCTCTGGAATCGAAGGTTCACGCCGGCTCCTGCAAGTCCAGCTGTCACTTCCTGCTCGCCTCCTGCCATGACAGGGGAGCTATCGTTGACGCCTCGGAATCGCATGGGTGACCCCCTCATCCCTGCAGTGGCGCTGAGGTCCTCCGCGTAGCCGCCCAGTCCAAGCGAACCTCCGCACCCTCGCAGGCACGCCGCGCCCAGTACAGCACGTCCATCTGGAATCGGCCCTTTCCTTACCGCGCAGGCCTCGGCCCCCCCCCAGCTCCCGGAAGTGCGCCTGCCGCCCAGATGTTGGCGCACGATCGCCTCCAGGTCTGTCGCCCGCGACTGTTCTGCGTTCCGTCCACAGCCACGTCGGTCGCACTCCATGAGGCAGGCGCTCGCAGGTGCTTCTTACGATGTCTCGTTGCTCCGAGGTGTCGCCCCAGGATGCTCGGCGCAGATCGCACGCCAAGTTCCTGAGCCCTCGTGGCGCCACCTCTTCGGTGATCCGAATGAGCTGGCGGGTCCGGCGTTGCGCCCAGTCCACGCACCACTCCGGCAGTCCCTGCAAGCTGCTTCCATGTTCTCGCAGCTGATCCAGCATGCCGCGATCTGTGCTGCTTGATCTCTGATCTTTTGTAGGTCCGCCGCTGCGCTGCCCCCCCCCCCCAGGGTAATCGGTGCTCGGTCTGCTGGGCCATGTCTGTCCTGAAACAGATCCTGGCGCAAGTCTACTGATCCACGATCTTTCTTCTGAACCTGGCGTTTGCTCGACACCACCTGTCGATTATTGCGCTTGCTGCTCGTCGGGCACGCTGTGGGTCCGATGCGCTTCTCCAAGCCACTCCATTCTCGTGTACATTAGTCGTCTCCAGGTGCCGATACCGCCCGGGTATTCATGATCTGCCCGTCGGTGTCGATCCTCACCTTGGTCGGGCTCGTGATTTCCTCCATCGTGGTCTCCATAGTCGCCAGCTGGTCATCTACGATCTGGATGGCAGTCACGTCCATTGAGCTGTCCGCCATCGGCAGCTTCACCGCCGTTGCCATCGCGAACGCAGCCCGCCAGAGAAAACCCCCAGGTCGACGGTGAGACCCTCGGCCGCCACCTTGTCCTCCACGCTGTAGGCTGCTCGATGAACCACCGCCCGATGGTCTTGTCTTCTCGCACTCTGGGTCGCCTTTCCAACGGCCCTTCTCGCGGCATGCGTTGCACTTCGTGCCAGCATTGATCTTCATGAGCTTCTCCTCGGCTTCCTTGCCGCCCATCTTGATAGAGCCCTGCCTGTTGACGCTGGCGTTCCAGCCTCGGCTTGACTTGCTCCGCGCGAGCCTCTCCCGGGCCTGCTTGCAGTTAGGCTCGTGACCTTTTCGCCAAACTTTCCACACGAGACGCTGAGCTTCTGCCGCAAGAGCGTCGCACTCCCCCTGGCTGACCTCTTCGGGGTCGACGTCGTCAATCACACACTCGAACTCGTCGATGTCGGCCGCAAGCGCGCCGTAGTCTTCATCTCTCATAAACCGCCCTCGTCGCGTATGCCACACACGTCCCCGAGTAGGGCTTCTTCTTCGTCGTCGTCGCATTCCACCGGGTAGGCCCCAGACCGTCCTTGCCCACGCTCGTCTCTGCACGTAGTGTCCAGCTGGATAAGCATGGCTGCCGTCACGTCATCCCAGATGCACTCGTCGCTGCATTGTCCCAGAACCGCCTTATGCTCAGTCATGCTGATATTCGCCAACTTCAGTAGGAAGCATGTCCGAAGGTCTTCGCTCACCGTCGTGTTTGCCGAAAGAGATTCGAACCGCTCGTACTCCGTCCTCGCCTTGATATGTAGCCCTGCACTGACTCCGATTTGTCGCGAAAGCATGTGAAGAAAAACTCTTCGAATACTTGCTGCTTCTGTAGTGGTGCGATCCGCTCGCACGTTTGTCGCACAGTTGGAACAACCAACATTACCGCAGCTGGTGGGTCATCACTTGCTTTGTCCAGCACTACTTGCGTATCTCGGCCTCCTCCCTCGCGAGGTTCCACGCTCGTCCATTCAACGAATTCTTGAGCTTGATCACGAGGAGTTCCTGGATATTCTCTTCGCTCGCTGATAGCCGAGTATTGCACGCTCCTCGAAGTCATCGCCGTAGACTGGATCCCCGCTGTAGTGTACCATGCCCTCTCTGTCCACGAAGAGGGGTCCGTCGTTATTGAACTGCTGCTGCCTGGTCGCCATCTCGTCTGTGATGCAAATGTCTTCGTCCAGCACGTCTTCGATGTTGTAGTTGCTGCTGTCCGGCTCGTTGCTGCAACGATTGCCGTCCAAGCTGCAAGTGATGAGGCTGTGAGTGTTGATCGCCGAACTGTGAAGAGCGCAGTGGTAAAGAACTGCGAGAATGATGAGGGCCAGCATGTACTTCTGCACACCCACTCTGATATAGATCTCGCAACCGTGGAACTGATACAGCTCCAGGCTACCAGTGGAAATATTGATGCCAATCCCCTTGCCACAAACACTTGATGCAAGCACAAGATGAGAATGAAATGACATCTGCTTTCCGTACTCAGGCAAAACGTGAGTAGGTGCGTCCACCCTCCCGCCCAGCTTGTGAGCCGAAAGGTTGCGGGCGAGAGGGATGCCACACACGGCACGAGCGAGCGAGAGCAGCAGCAGCAGAGATGATTCTCACTACCATCCTATATCTCACATCTCCGCTCACCTGCTTTTCACCATATTACTGCCACCCTCATCAGATCAGGACCCCCCCAGGGCCTGAAGCCTCCTCCCGTGCCAGGCTCAGGAAGAAGGGTAGGCCCCCCGAGGCCAACGCCCTCCTGGCCGCCCTCACGGCGGGCACGTGGACGCCAGCGCGCAAGCACGGCCTCTGCGAGGACCTCGCCCGATCGGGAAGGTGCAGCTGCGGTGTTCGAGCCGACGCCCCCTCCTCCTCCTACTCCTCCCCCTCCCTCCTCCCCCTCCCTCCTCCCCCTCCTCCCCCTCCTCCTCCTCCTCCTCCTCCTCCTCATCCTCCTCCTCCTCCTCCTCCTCCTTCTCCTCCTGAGCTCGAAGTGGTCTTTCTTTCGGCGTCTTGACTGTACTTAGGAGGCAACTACTGGGAGGTCTTCGTCGGAAAAATTTAGTAGAGAAGATCAAACCCCACTGGGGGGCTGTTACGCCGGAGTGGGCCTCGGATTGAGCGGGACTATGCCGGATTAGGCCGGATAAAGCGGCATTAAGTGGGATTGAAGGGGATCAAGCTGCATTAAGCCGGATTTCGGACCAGGGCAAAATCATAATTTGACCTCCCAGGAATTGCATCCGAATGTACTGGTGCATCTGGGCCCCCCAGATGGGGTCGGAGTAGATGGGGTCGAGGGATCGCGCCGCATCGTCACCGGCATATCGGCGATGCATCGGCGACGTCGACGGTGCATCAGTCTCGTCGGTGTAAAGATGATCGGGCTCCACATCCAGCCGCATCGCCGATGCATCGGCGATGCGGCGCGTCACTCGACCCCATCTACTCGGGCCCCATCTGGGAGCCCAAAGTGGTCTTTGCGTCTTGACTGTAAGGCCTTCCTCCCGACCCGACTCCGGGAGTAAGACGAAGCCAGGACGAGGAGAACGTCAGGTAAGGATAAATCGAGAATCTCTGAGATCCGGCAGCTCTGGAGGCTGTCTCGGACGCCGCGGCCTTCTCAGAGCGTTCCGGAACGCTCTGGAACGGATGTATCTTGTCCCAGCCCCGTCCGAAGGAGGCACTGGGCTTCTGAGCGGCCCTCTCGCCTTCTCAGAAGGCTTGCCCCCACTGCGCCGCTGGGAGGGGGGAGGGGAGGGAGGGAGGATTTAGGGAGGAGGAGGAGCAGCAACACTGCCACTTTTATCACAGCACGCCATTTAATGGAGGAGGAGGAGGAGGAGGAGGAGGAGCAGGAGGAGGAGGAGGAGGGGGAGGAGGAGGAAGAGGAGGAGGAGGAGGACGAGGAGGAGAAGGAGGAGGAGGAGGAGGGAAGATAGGAAGAGAAGAGGGATCTGCGTACGACCGTCGTTCCCCCCCATCGACCGCCCCTCCCTCGCCTGCTCTCTCAGGAGGCGGCCCGCTCGCCGCTCCCCTCCCGCTACTGCGCATCGTTCGACCGACCCCTATCCCCATGGGCGTCGCCTAGGCCCCAGGGGCCGATTTACCCTGCTGGATGGGGATATCCTCCCTCCTCCTCCTCCTCCTCCTCCTCCTCCTCCTCCTCCTCCTCCTCCTCCTCCTCCTCCTCCTCCTCCTCCTCCTCCTCCTCCTTCTCTCCTCCTCCTCCTCCCCCCCCATCCCCCCCTCCTCCTCCCCTCCTCCCTCCTCTCCTCCTCCTCCTCCTCCTCCTCCTCTCCTCCTCCCCTCCTCCTCCTCCTCCTCCTCCTCCTCCTCCTCCTCCTCCTCCTCCTCCTCCTCCTCCTCCTCCTCCTCCTCCTCCTCCTGTTCCTGGATGTGGGCCGTTTGCTCCGGGCCTCGAGGGGTACATCCCCGACTGGGGTGCTCAGATGGTGGGGGATGTGGATGGGGATGGGCATAAAGTGGGGCGGAGAAACGAGACTGCATGAGCTCGACCACAAAAAACTTCCACAAGACACCCAACCCTGAGACCACAGGACGTCCATTGGTTTTTGGTGTGGGAACGTCACGCTTTCCATAGCAAAGCCTTCGAAACCCAAGAAACCCACGGCACCCTGGAGGCAAGCAGGGTGTTTCTTGGCATGGGTTTCCACTGTACTGAGCTCCATCACCCCGTGTTTCGGCCAACCCGGGGAGGCCTCCTGTCCCCAAGCCCAGCTGCAGCGCCAGGGCGGCGGCCCTGCCGACTCCCCCTCCCCACCTGGGGCGGGCGCGGTCACCCGCGAGGTCTTCGCCCCGCGGCGCCGCGGATGTCCGCGAGTGGGCCCACTCTGAGCCAAGAAAACGGGACGAGCGAGAGTCAGGCGCCTATGGGGAGCATGACGGGAAAGGGCACGATGCGGAAGATGAGTCATTCCTTCTCCGTGGCGGGGATGAATTGCTTGTGGGCTGCGGGGCCAAGTTTGCGGGAGGACTCATGACAGGAGGTGTGGGGAAGATGTGCTATGCGTGTCCGCTTCCCGAAAATGTCGAGCATCTCTGAAACGGTAACAGTGGCACTCACTCACCGTTGAAAAAGCAAATCACTTGGACCACACCGCAATGTGTTTCAACGCACTTTGAATCGCCAATGCTGTCACGCGGCTCGAGATGGTTCCAACGGCGTGAGCGCCATCATGCTTGACATTGCCTGTCCCTGTATCTGTATACATATACATGTACAGTGTACGTATCACCAATGATCGTTGTGTAGTTACGCCTGTCGTGCTGGAGTAGAGTCATTCAAATGAGTATTCAAATACGCGGAATGTGTTGACATATGGGGCCTTTTGTGATGTAGTCCTACGAACCGAGTGTGCTATCTGGCTTATCAGACCAGCCCGTCCAAAACAATCCCCCCTTGCTCTTCGGGCGAGGTTGACCGTTTACAAATGCCCTGCTCCTCTTCGCAAGTATGGACACCCTGGTCGCGGTGTGTCGATGAGTTCGCTTTCGGCTGCTATATGGTGGCCCAAGATAGCCCAATGTGACATCCGATCTGGCGCAATTCGGCTCAAGTTGGTCAAATATGTCCTCCAACATAGCCCCACAAAACCTAGATACGGTTCGAATGCGTTTCGAGGCGGCCATGAAGCACCCCTGGCATGCGCCCGAGAGGCCGGATACATTGGAAAACTACGTCCCTAAATCAACATGGAAGGAGAATGAGGAGGATGATGAGGAGGAGGGGGAGGAGGAGAAGGAGGAGGAGGAGGAGCAGCAAGATGGCATACTCCGACGTCGACCTCTGCATCTCTCTCACACACACACACACACCTACACCGAGACACGGTTACACGCATCTACAGACGCACACAAATCTAGTATAACCATCTCGCGCGCTCCGCGCGCGCTCAAGTTCTAGGCAAGTTCAAGACAATGCTTGCCGCAATGGGCCTGTACCATTCCTTCAAAGGTTCCTCCTCCTCCACCCCCTCGTCCTCCCCACCCCCTTCTCCTGATTTGCCTTCAGCCATCCTTCACGTCAACATTACATCTGCCGTTTACATCCCTTTGTGACATTCCGCTTGTTAGTGCAATATCTGCCCCAACGCGTCCCGAAATGCTCCCGTAGCGATCGTGGAGAAGCCCAAGAGCCCATGCCAGGCCCCCGTGGGCAGAAGAGCGACCCATGAGAGAGCGGCAATATATAGAGAAAGAGAGAGAGAGAGAGAGAGAGAGAGAAAAGGAAACAAAAAACGCAGAGGGTAGGAAATATCCCTGAACAGGGGGCGGGAAGATGGTAGAATGGGGGAACGGAGGGACTCATTTCAAGGAGGGGGAGGACGAAAGTGAGAGGACGGATCATCGCGGACACGGGAAGGAAGGCACGGAGGACTGGGGAGGATAGAGGAGATTATGGAAAATAAGACATGGGGGGAAACGGCGGACGGGAGGCAGGAGGCAAAACATGAGTGGAAAGCGCTATCTGCCCCTTTTCCCGCTGGGGAAGGCTCCTGGGTCCGAGGGGCCTCCTCTTCACCTTCGGGCCTCTCGGATGTCTCGCGGGGTCCTCTCTTGGAGCATGAGTTGGGTCTGCTGGGTGTTTTTGGGAGGACTCCTGGCGGCCTGCTGGCAGTCTCGGGGCCAATCCTGGGGCGGAGGGCGAGCTGTGTCAGCTCAAATTCCCAATGTTCGGGCTCTCTTGGAACTGTCGCGGACCGTCTTGGGGCGGTCCTGGGCCGTCTCGGGGCGGTCTTCAGGACATCTTGGGGCGTCCTGCGCGTCGGAAGCCCAGAGAGGAGAGAATGGCATTAACAGGGTCACTGATTTTGGCTTCTCGGGGTTCTCTTGGGGGTCCTCTTGGGATCGTGGGGCCTCCTGGCAGCTGTCTGGAGCTACCTTGGGCTATCTTACGCCAGCTTGGAGGCCAAAACAAAACATCTGGGACCATGTTGAAGGCATCATGGACCGTCTTGGAATAATGATGAAGTCTTCTCGGGACGCCCTGGAGGGGAGACAACAGCCACTTCGGAAGTCGAGGGCCGTTCGGTCGAAGTCCAGAGCAGTCTCCCCCCCCCCCCGGCCCAGGCCTCTTGGGGCCTCTCGGGGGTCTCGTCGGGGCGTGGCGGCGGTCTCGGGGGGCCGCTTGGGGCCGATAGCAAGAAATGTCAATCGTAATCCTCCATCTCGGGCCTTTCTCGGGGCCCTCGAGGGGCCCGTTTGGGCCGCGCTGGGCGTCTGTTCTGTTCATCGTTGCCTCCACCATTGTCGGGGCAGTCAGGTGCGTCTAATGGTACGTAGCCATTTTGCTTTCTCACGGTGTAGGAGTTGGTTTAAGGGAGAGAAACAACAACAACAACAACAACAACAACAACAACAACAACAACGTCGCGGCGCCCGTCCCGGCCCCGGGCCGGGGCCGGGACGGGCGTCAGCACACCGCGGTGCGCGCCCTCTGACCCGGCCCCGGGTAAAAGCGTTCGCGCTCTCGGTGTGTCGACGACTCTCCCGGCCCCGGGGATCCTCTCGCTGGCGCAGGCATTCGCGCGCCTGGTGTGCTGACGACTCCCCCGGCCCCGGCAGGTCCGAAAACGTTGAAACCTGGGCGTTCCCAAGGACTCCTCAGGGATTCCGAAGTATCCCTGCGTATACTATATACGTGTACGTGTATGTACGCAAATACATACATGTTTACATACATACACATGTATATGTATGTGTGTATGCATGTATATGAATGTATGTACATATATATATATATATATATATACAAGCCTAACGATGTGTAAGTGTGTACACATGTATGTGAACACATATATGGCATGTATAGATGTAAACGGTGGCGAAGGCGAGACGGCACTGTTCGAACCTGTAGTGGTGGACGCCGTGGTAGTGCTCAACTCCGTAGTCCTGGACACCGCGGTACTGCTCAACTCCGTAGCGGTGGGCGCCGCGGTACTGCTCAACTCCGTGAGGCTGGATACCGAAGGAGGAGGAGGAGGAGGAGGAGGAGGAGGAGGAGGAGGAGAAGGAGGAGGAGGAGGAGGAGGAAGAGGAGGAGGAGGAGGAAGGAGGAGGAGGAGATGAGGAGGGTGAGGAGGAACGCGAGGGGCGTGCGAGTGAGGAGGGGACCAGCCGCTGCCGCCGGCTCCCGCCGCCGGCTCCCGCCGCCAAGCAGCAGACCAGGGCGGCGGCGGCGGCGGGCGCGGCGCCGCGGCGGGCGGCCGCGCGCCGCGGACGCGGCGAGCACCCCGCGGCCCGCCCGCGGCCCTCCGCCATGGCGGGCGGCCTCCGCCCTGGCCCCCGCCCGCGCGCTCAGCGTGCGCGCGGCCCGCCTTGAGCCAAAATGGTTACGGTTTTCGGTTTGTTGGTCGCACGCCCCGTGTGCCGACGCCCCTCCCGGCCCCGGTGGCCTGGTCGGGGGCCACGACCCAGTGAAGGCGCCCGTCCCGGCCCCGGGGGGGGGGCTAAGCTCCGCCAACTCCAAGTTTTCAATTTACCAAGAATGATAAAATATCATTTTCCAAGAAGAACAAGACATCAACAACAAGCTGGGGCCGGGACGGTGGTCGCAACGAACAACAACAACAACAACAACAGCAGCAGCAGCAACAACAACAACAATCATGTTAAGACTGTTCGCCCTATCTGCTCGAGTGTACAATAACGCGTATTTCCCAAACCCTCGATACCCGCCCTCTTCGTCCTCGATCGAACCCCTTTTGGGGGGTATACCTTTCTTCCCTGCAGGCCGGGCCCCGGCAAGCGGCGGGGCGGCCGCGGACCGTCGGCTCCCTCACTCTCATGAAAACGTATTTTTTTGGGGGGAGGAGGAGGCGGGACGGAGAGGACAGGTTACGAAAAGACACGACGTGATGGGAGAGGAACGCAGTGCTTGGGCGCTCAGGCTACAATCCCGCCCCCCAAGGCGCGCGACCTTGGGGCGACAAGGCACATCAACACGGCTTTCCCCATCAGCAAGCACAAGAAATAATATGTGGACTGGGAGCCTGGCGATCATCAATTCACCAGATGTTTCCCTCATGCGCGGTGTATATGGGCGATTTCGGAAACCCTGAATCCGAAAACGTTTGCATCTCTTGGGGGCGCATGTTTTACTTCCGCCACCTTCCGCCGAGCTTCCGCCAGCGTCCGCCGGCGGAGGCGGCCTCGTTTTATTTCCGCCGGCATTCCGCCGCGCTTTCGCCGCCTTCCGCGGCGGAAGAGATGACAACTCCTTCGATCCTCGAAGTCAAGGCCCTTTTTGGGCTACTGTTTGGAACGTATACATAGATACTAGACACACGAGTGGCTCTACGAAAGAGTGACCTGTGCTGCGCGGCTTCGGGGGGGCGCGGGCGTATCACCCGATAATGCCCCAAAAGAGGACCCCCAAGAGGGCCGCCGAAATTGCTGCAATCACAGATCCCCCTTTTCCGCTTTTGAGCATACACACATAAGGAGAGGAGGAGGAGGAGGAGGAAGAGGAGGAGGAGGACGACGAGGAGGAGGAGGAAGAGGAGAAGGATATGTTTAAATGTTTACATTTAAAAACATAACATGTACATCAAAAGATGTATGTGTATGTGTGTGCGGCCCTCGCGCCTTCATCGGGCTCCAGGCACACAAGACGCTACATATCCACAGAACGGTCAAAGAGACCCCCAAGGAAGCCATCCGTCCATCCAGACAGCCAGCCAACCAGCCGAGTTGTCAGCCTGGCAACTCATCAGCCAATGAACCGATCAGCCCTGTCGACCCAGCGATGCAGGCAGTCAGAGGGGTGGCCGGCGGCAGAAGACGAGGCCCCTCTGATTTTGTGTATCAGTACCGGTAGTGGTTGGTATGGGTCTTACTTGC